TGTGTCTCTCTCTGTCAAATAAATAAAATCTTTTAAAAAAGAAAAGAAAAAGGAGCAAATCTTGCTTTTGGTGCCTACATTGATTATTTGTACATTTGATGTTCCAAATGATTTTTTTTTTTTTAAGATTTTTATTTATTTTTTGACAGAGAGAGAGCAGGAGAGGGAACACAAGCAGGGGGAGTGGGAGAGGGAGAAGCAGGCTTCCCTGCTGAGCAAGGAGCCCGATGTGGGGCTCGATCCCAGGACCCTGGGATCATGACCTGAGCTGAAGGCAGACGGTAAACGACTGAGCCACCCAGGTGCCCCAAATGATTTCTGATATTTTTTACATACTAATTGTTATGACCTGGGTTGCCAAGTAAAAGTTTTTAAAATACTTGGTTTGGTTTGAAATTTTAGATATCTTTATATACATTTTTTTCACCTCTCTCTCTCTCTCTCTCTCTCTGCATAGGTATATAAAATACTAGTAAAGAAAACCCCAGAAGAAAGTTGGGTAGTTTTCAGAAGATACACTGACTTCTCTAGACTTAATGATAAAGTAAGTACTTTAATAAATCTAAAACGGACTTTTCAGTTTCAAATTATTATCTGTTCCTGACAGTTCTACTGTTAAATATTTGTGGGTTCTCCTTGTTAGTTATCTGAGTGAAGTCATATTTTGCTAGTTCCTAAGAAAATTAACTATTTTATTTCATTTTAATAGCCTAAAGACCCATCTTTACACATAACTTCCTTTTTTTAGAAACAAAAAATTATTTTTAGTATAAAAGTATGAAAATCTTAAAACTGCTAACAGAAATATAAATGATTATATAGGGGCGCCTGAGTGGCTCAGTCATTAAGCGTCTGCCTTCGGCTCAGGTCATGATCCCAGGGTCCTGGGATCGAGCCCAGCATTGGGCTCCCTGCTCCGCGGGAAGCCTGCTTCTCCCTCTCCCACTCGCCTTGCTTGCTTGTGTTCCTGCTCTCGCTATCTCTGTCTCTGTCAAATAAATAAATAAAATCTTTAAAAATAAATAAATAAAATGATTATATAAGCTTGTGAATTTGATAAAGATGTATATAAGATTCCCCTAAATCCTATGACTATAAGGGAATGAATATTTCTAACATGTGTATTAGTTTTCTATTGCTGTTAACAAATTACCACAAACTTTGTGACCTAAAACATAACTGTTTATTATCAAGTGATTTAGGTGGGCTCAGCTGGGTTTGCCACTTAGGGTTAGATAAAGTCAAAGTCAAGCTGTTGGCTAGACTGGGCTCTTCTCTGGAGGCTCGGAGAAAGTATCAGCTTTTGGGTTCATTCAGGTTGTTGGCAGAGTTCAGTTTCTTGTAGTTGTAAGACCAGGATCCCCATTTCCTTGCTGGTTGTCAGCCAGAGGTTGTTCTTAGTTCATAGAGTGCTGTCCAGTCTTTGCACATGGCCCCTGCACCTTCAAAGTCAGCAGTAGCAGGTCATGTCCTTTTTGTGCTTTGAATCTCTCTGACTTTCTCTTCTGCCACCAGCCAGGGGGAAAGCTAGACTTTTAAAGGGCTCATGATAAGATCAGACTCACCGAGATAATCTATCTTAAGGCCAATTGAAAAGTAACCCTAATTACGTCTGCGTAATCTCTTTTAATGTGTGACATAACAAAATCACAGAAGCAACACCAGGGACAAAGATCATGGGGCCATCTGGAATTCTGCTTACTGCACATATGAAACAAAGAAAATAATAAAAACCTCAATATATTAAAAACTCTTAAAAGTAAATTAGAGTAAACCCAAAAGTAGAAAATACTACAAATGATGTGAACAAGGCAAACCACAGAAGAAATATAAGTGACCAATAAATTTGGAAAACATTTGATATCACAAGGACTCAAAGGAAAATTAAGAAACTGTTTTTCATCCATCAAGTTAACAGACATTTAAGTGGTATTATCCATTGTTGGAAATATGAATCTTCCTAGGGGACACAACTTCCTAAAGTTGTACATAATTTTGATACAATAATCACATTTCTGGGATTTATCCAATATAAGAAATCATGGATATGGACAATATTTAGCTCTAAGGATACTTTTCACTGTGTTTTATTCATTGTTATTTTCTTTGTGTTTTAATTTGTTTTTAATAGTTAAAAATTAGAACCAACCTAAATTTGGGGAATTGATAGGGAATTGAGTAAATTGCAGTACAAATGTAATAAAGAGCTGAGATGTCCACAGAGCTAGAGGGAAATCAATTGAGGCAGGTGAGGGTGGTAGTATTTTAGAAACCAGGAGCATTTCTCCAAAGGAAGCAAGTGGTTTAGGATGTTTCTAAGAGGCTAAGTAACCTTGGATTTTGTCTTTGGATCAGAAATCACTCCCTAATTTTGACAGGTGTTTAGTAGAGGAAACTTTACTGGTCCTGTTTTCTCCCATCTGCCACCTTCACTCTCAAAACTTCTAAAGTTATGGGCGCCTGGGTGGCTCAGTTGGTTAAGCGACTGCCTTCGGCTCAGGTCATGATCCTGGAGTCCCAGGATCGAGTCCCGCATCAGGCTCCCTGCTC